AAGGGAAAAGAGTGGAAGAACTGGTTACTCTAGCTGATCATTTGAGCAAATTCAAGCATCTATTGCAAACAAACCACAGACAGGGGTTTAAACCTGGCAGGAAGCAGGGTTCCCATTTTACTCCTGGGAAGAAGGAGGGTGGATCAGAGGCTGGACACTTACCTCTCCAAAGCCATTCCTCTAGTCCTCATCCCAAATCTCCTGTAAAAACAGAGGAGCCCAGAAGGTGCTACCAGTGTAATTCCAGTTAGCACCTGAGGAATAAATGTCCTGTACTGGGAAAGAACAGGCAGCTAAATATTCATGGAAATGCTGCTACCCTGAGCACAGAGGCACTACAGGCCATGGCTACTCATCATACAGGGTTTTTAAAAGTAGCCTCTGTCCAGCCGGGCATGAAGCACAAAGCCTGTCAGGATTAATGGCAAGGAATACCTTGGGTGGGAAGAGACGGGGCAGAAATTTCTGTGGTTAGAAGGAATGTTGTACAGAAAAATGACTAACTGCCAGGACAGATGGCAGAGCTTTTATTAGTGGGAGGTTACAAAATCCTCGTGCCTTTGGCTAAAGTGCACAACGAAACTGAGGATTTGGGAGCTGTATTGTTTGTGGCAGTGGTAAATGATAACCCAATTGCTTTGTTACTGGGGGAATGATTTCTTCCATGTAGCTCGGGCTGTCAAGGAGCAATTTTATGCTGGAACCCCAGAGGGAAAGGGTGAAGTCCCAGGAACTGCTGGGGGAATGTCTCTTTAATCTCTCTACAGCAGTGGGAAACAGTATGCTTCCAGGGGTGGGTGTAGTTGAGGCCAGCTCCTGTCCAGTAGCTAATGGCAGCATCTCCTGCGGGGGCGGAGGAGGGGAGTGTGTTGCCTGTCAGTGAGGAAACTGTCCAGGTTGCTGACCGCCTGCAGGTTGCAGATAAGCAAGGGACAGACCTCGCTCTAGGGTGCATAGGGAGATTTGTTCTAGAGGGACGCCCAGAGGTGGGTGATAGAATCGTAGAAACCACTGTGGTGGGTGAGGGTTCCATTGACTCTGTAGCTGGAGGCAAACCCAACTCAGGAAGAGAGGGGTGTGTAGTGCCTGCCAGTGAAAGAACTATTCAGGCTGTTATCTGTGAGCTCTTTACAGCTGAACAGGGGATAGAGCCCACTCTAGAGCGCAGAGGTGTGTGCCTTAGAAGGGGGCCCAGAGGAGGAAGCTGAAAAAGAATTAGTAGGGGTACAAGAATGTCTCCTCACTGATTACATGGGTGTGGGGGGGTTGCCCAGGACAGAAATGCTAGGTCAGCTTCTATACAGTCAGGCACCCAACCAGTGGCTCAGGTTTTAAGAGGGAACAGTGTAACTGATCTCCCGGAGGGGAGCAGTCACACCACTGACCTCTTGGGGATAATGAGAGGGGTGACAGAGGATACCCCAATCCCGGTCCCACTTTTGCAAAATGTTGTTCCTGATGCACTTGTGGAAACTAACTCTGTCTCTTTAAGACAGGATGAGAATCCTACTAAAGACTTGAGTGTCAGTGAAAATGATAATGATCCCCCTTCTCCCCCCCCCCCCCCACCGAGAAAGGGGAGGAGGGAGCAATTTCCCAGTTGGGTAAGATACAGCGAGCAGCTAAGGAAAAGCTGCTGGAAGATTACAGCCCTTTAGTCTGTCCCAGTGCTGGGAGTGAAAAATCATCAGAAAACCCTAGGGTGGGGGTGGATTTGTAATATCTTAGAATACCTCTGGCTAATCACAGATCATCATAACTGTTGTGTGGACACAAATCTCTTTTCTCTTACCATGAGTGCTTTGAGTGTATAATATTGAAACACAATATGGTACTGAATAAGGAAACTATACAAACCAACTCCAGTAAATAAAGTCACTGTATTTAAACACCATAGAGAAATAGAATGAATATTGTCAGCTCACTTGTAATTTAAAACAAACAAAAAAATCAATAACCTCTTATACATACCCTTGGTTGATCAAGTGTCACTTGGCACATATGATGACAGAATCACTCAGCTGTTCTCTATGGTTCCCATAATTCTTAAAAGGGTTTGAAGTGGTTCTGTGTCAAAGATATGTATGTAGAAACAACAGAATCAATTTGTGTTTGAAAGGGCGATGTTTTTAATTGGGTTGTGGTGTGTTTAAGAGCAAAAACTGGTGGGAAGATGTTGCATGGACATTTTTCTTCACCTTTAAGAAACAGAACTTGCAGCAACTTCTTACCTTCAGTTATCTTATCAATGCACACAGTTTCAATTTAACAGTGAATATGATGAAGCATGTTAGATCCATATGATGGTGTTTGTAGACTGGTCCCATTTGTGAAATCAACTGCACTATTATTTTAAAGTTGCCCATCTCTTTAACCTTGTTTCAAGGTCTTCCTACATTGATTTCTCTGGTTCACAGGTTCAAAAGTATAATTTCTTCACCTTATTTAACTGTTGTTCCGCTAAGTTGATGTGGTGGTCAGTTTGCTTACCCATGCCTAACACATTTTGATAGGTCATTTGAAAGCTGTCAGCCTCCAGTTCTTAGTGGAAAAATTGCAGGATCCCATTATCAAGAATATCACTATTCTTATACTTAACTTCTCTTCCAGGGTTAATCCTCTCTATCGTTCCAGGACTCCAACATGGGGGAATGAGGGATATGAGTAGAAATGAGTACTTGTGTGATCCCATCTAGTTTCATGGAGCAACAGCTCCACTATGGAAGTGCTTCTGCACTTGAGTGCTGCTTGGGACATTGGTTATGTGCTGCAATAGTCTGACACCCATTATGTGGCCTGTGAAGATATTGACTCGCAGTCAAGGTGCTTGTATGGCTGACCCTCCCTCCCCCATGCATTCACATTTTAAGGAATTGCCAGAATACCATATATACCAAATCCCTGGTCATTGTGTTTTGTAACTGTAGCTTGTACTGTTATTGTTTACCTAAGGCCTCATTTTTCTCATGTACTCATCTAACCTAAACTTTTCTAGGTATTTATATGTGGGATGTAGAAGGCAGAAAATATTTTGATTTCTTGAGTGCTTACAGTGCTGTGAATCAAGGTCACTGTCATCCAAAGATTGTGGAATCTCTGAAATCTCAAGCTGAGAAACTGACCCTTACCTCTAGGGCATTCTACAATGATGTACTTGGTGAATATGAAGAGTATATCACCAAAATGTTCAACTACAGCAAAGTTCTTCCAATGAACACAGGTAACGTACTCTCCTCCCGTCTCTGTTTTACCCCTTACAAGTATGAGAGTTACTCTTGTAAAGGACCAAAAATTACAAGTGGCCAAATTGCACATATGTGGCTCTTTATTGTAGGTGTGGAAGCTGGAGAAACTGCCTGTAAACTGGCTCGCAAATGGGCATATACCGTGAAGGGAATTCCAAAATACAAAGCAAAGATTATTTTTGCAGGTATGTGAAATTAACATCATAAGAGCTTGTTCTTCAGGGGGGAAGAGAAGATTCCCCATCATAGTAAAACCCCAAGCATAGGCTAAAACATTATAGTCTTCTAGGGTATGATGATTATGTCACAGTATTTTTAATGTCCCAATCCCTCTCTTTCACTGAATTGGGTTTTAATGGCGGCCTTTACCCCTGAATGCTCAGTGCAGTGCTGCTGTTACGTCTCTGCCTCAGTTTTCCCAAATGAAGATTTTAATAACTCCATTGAAGCCTGTATATTGGACAGCACCCTTCAGGGGTCGGCCCCAAAGGCAGAACGTTACATGAATAGGCCTCCCCCTCAGCATCTCTAGCTAGAGGGAGGAGGGGCTAAATCAACCGTAGTCTGTCCATCCCAGTTATGTTCAAGGTCCCTTACCTGGAAGGCCTTTGTCACCCAGAACCCTCCTTCGGAGTCAGGGGCTTCTTGGTGCTAGCTGGGAAGTATCTCTCGGGTCAAGGTTCTCCACAGCAACTGAACCTCAAAGACAGAATATAATTCCTTTAAACTAGGGCTTCTGCTGTTGCCTGGTGAAGTGGTTCATGGGAGCCAGCTTTCTCTGAGATCTAACATTCATAGTCCTTTTCTTCTGGAAATTCTTCCATCCAGGAGCATTATCTCGTTGCTGGTGAGCCCCTCTCACCTTTCCCCCCCCCCCAAGAAGCCTTCTCCATAGGAGCTTTCTCTCCCTGCACTCTGGGAACTGTTCCTCTCCTAGGAGCCTCTGTTCTCCTAGCTCCTTGCAGTGGGGTAGATTTCCTTTTATCATGCCTAGGTGCTTCCCTCCTAATTAACTGCCTCCCAGTTACTCAATGAGTTAATAAGTCCCAAGTGAACCTGAGTTGCCTCATTCCCCCTTATAAAAACAATGAGGAGTTTGGTGGCACCTTAAAGACTAAGATTTATTTGGGCATAAGCTTTCTTGGGTAAAAAACCCACTTCTTCCAATGCATGGAGTGAAAATTACAGATGCAGGCATAAATATATATTGGCACATGAAGAGAAGGGAGTTACCTTACAAGTGGAGAACCAATGCTGACATTTAGTCAGGGTGGATGTTGTCCACTCCCAACCAGACTCCTCGTTGTTTTTGTGGATACAGACTAACACGGGTACCCCTCTGATACTTATTCCTCCTTATGACATCTGTCAGAGGTAGGCTGCACTCTTGACCCCTTCAGAGGGCCAGCTACTCTCTGACATGGGTCAGTTGTAGGTTGTTGTGACATAGATTTAGCTTTAATATCTTAAATCTATCTCGGATCCCAACTGATTATCAGGAATTTTTAAAAGATCCATGTAATATAGATAACCTATATTGTCTTAATAGAAGTACTTCTTAAAAGCCAAAGTTGAAAATTAATTCTTCCTTGCCTTCCGTTCAGGATACGGTTTTCTTGGCAAAAGTTGATACTGCATGTATCAACAAGACAATGAATATAGTTCCCTGTTTTGTTATTAGGTGCTTGTGATGTGATGTGGTGTCATCTGTTGCAGGGGCAAAAGAACTATGAACTCAGGTCCTGGAAGGTAGAAAGTCTTCAGTTTTTTTCTTTCCATATTATGGAAGATACATTTCAGTGTATGTCTATAATAAAATGAAAGTTTTTTTTTTTTTTTTTTTTAAACCTTTTTAATTACTTTTCTAAAATCAGTTGCATGGTTGGTAGCAATTTTCACTGGGAAGCAGTCAGCCTCTTATGAGGTTACATCACAGCCCCTGGATACCACTGCTGATGTGTTAAAGCGCAAACCATATTTGTTGCCCTCACCCAGTCCAAAGCCTACCTGTCACCTTCATGCAGCTCCCAGCAAGTTAGAGGTTTCTGAAATGGCTGCTAAATCCAGAGTTCTGTATGGCAGCATAGTAATCTCAGCAGCTGGGATGATCCCACTTCTATATAAGGCTTTCATACCAGATGTGGCAGGAGTTACCATTTCTGCGATAAAGCTGCATTGTAATCTTGATTATGTAGTGAATATAACAGGAACCTTGAGTTAATACTGGGAGCTGAAATTTCCTGATGTTACCTTATAATACATAGTGCATTCTATAAGCAGAACAGGGACAAGTTACTTGTGATTGAGAAAAGTGCATACGTAGCTTAAAAAAATCTCATTTCTGTCTAGCTATAATTACTGAACTTTGGCTCCCTTTGGTCACAGAACGCTGTTTTAAAACACTATTAAAATGTCAGGCAGTGATTTTGTTAGATATTTATCTTTTATCTTTTCGTTTTTAAAACTGATTTCTACTACTGCAGCTGTTAAGACTACTTCTGGCACTTGGCGCACATAGTGCTTAAACCATAAACCTTTGAATCATTAGTAGAGATGGGTGAAATTTTTTGCACAGCTTTTTTTGACGAAAAATGCAGATTCAGCAGCACAAACATTTTGCAAGGTTATGTCAATGTCATCAGATTATTTCAGTTGAAAAAACCTTAAAAAATCCAGTAAAAATCAAAACCTTTTGTTCTGACATTTTGTAAACAACTTTCAATTTCAGAATGTCCTTTAATTTTACTCCCCCCCCTCCCACCCCCCCAGAAAATCATTCCAAATGCTTGAAATCTAAACAAAACATTTTATTTCGGTTGAAGGAAACATTTTATTTGACCCAAAACAAACATTTTTTTTATTTTTTCAGAATTGCCAGTGAACCGAATAATCTATTATTCGCTCAGCTCTAATCAGTAGTTATGCTTTTGTAGCCTAATTGAATGCAAGTAAGTTCATAAATGCTGTTTAAAGTCTGGAGTTGAGTAATATATTGTCCTCTGAAGAGGCAGATGCCAGAGGGCGTGGAAGTTGTAAACAATTGATTTTTTTTTCAAATATTTTTAACCTACAGTATTTAAATAGTGCAGTTTAACAAGTACTTTCCCATCATAAGGGACATATTCTACATACATGGTTCCCCATCACCATAATATCTCAGCACCTGCAAATTATCTAAAATAGAAATAATCCCTCTCCTTGTGAGAGGTATGGTTTGTGGAGGGATTGTAGAGGCAATGTCCAGCTAGCTAGCGCCAGTCCTGTTGAGGGTTTTTAATAGCATGGCAGACTACTTACGGTGATTTTGTACTGAATAGGGGACCTGAGAGCAGAGTACTAGGGCGATGTGATGTTAAGTAGACAAACTATGGCATGTACCAATTCAAACTTATTTTGTTGTGTGGTGCTTTGATCCTAGATGAGTGTGTTGTAGTAACCAAAGTTACAGATCATGTATATGTGGCTCACTGTGGTAACATGGCTGTTGTAACAATCCAGGGGATCTTCAGCAGTTGGGTATTGCTGCAATGCAGGGGTGGTTCTGGCCATGCCCCTAATGTTGGGGACCAGAAGGAAGGCTGTCTAGAGCTGGCTTTATGAGCTCTACAGCACCTGGGATTTCCCCCATGATCTTCAGCTGGTTAGAGCCGCTGATTTTTATGGCCCCTTTGCACCAGCAAATTGGCACAAAGAGTGGATTAATTTTTGTCACTGATTTTTTGTTTTAATTATGATTTAAGTCAGCAAGGAGGAAACCTTGATTTAAATAGTCTATTTTAATCTTGTTTTGCATTTGTACTTTCTATTTATTTTCATAAAGAAAGGTTCAGTCTCATTTGTTGGTATAACTATTAAAACATGTTGATTTGCAACCAGATACACTCTTCGTAGTAGATTTGGTACTATTTTTTGCTAACCAGAAGGATATGGTATATCTATACACTTATTTAAGCAATTATATATTTTAGCATACATTCTGATTATTAATTTTTACAAGCAGGGGCTACATTAGAAAATTGTGAATGAAGCAGTTTTTATTTACAAGGTGATTTTTTTTCAATGCAGGACTTGTCAAGCTGCATTGGACGGAAATTAGAATTCAACTAATGTATAACACCAGCATTTTTTTAAATTAGTTAAATAAAACTACCTAAATGTGCTGGGTGCATAGGAAAAATAGGTTTATAAAAACATTTTTATTAAACAAAAGAAGCATTATGCGTAGTTAGTGAATTGACAGATTGTCTCTGGTCACCCTGGACTAAACAGGTTAGGTACCTAACTCTCATTGAAATTAATGGGAGTTAGGTTCCTTACCTGCTTCTGCGCTTTTTGAAAATCCCAAGAGGTTAGGCACGGAAGTGCCTAATTTCCTTTGTAAATCTTGCCCCATGTCCTTTAAGTTCTTAGAATTCGTAGATCTGATCCTCTCCCACCTGATTTTGATTTATAAATTGGAAGAGGAAATCAAGCTTTCTTGCTTTTTCAGCTCCCAGTTGGTTTCTTAACTTTGAACTAGCACAGGTGAGGAAAATATTCTGTCTACCCTGCTTAGCTAAATTGAAACCACAAGTAATTATGGTAAAAGCTGTTCTGCACAAAAGAAAATGTAAAGTACTTACGTTTGTAAAAATGTAAATGCCAGCGTTTGCTCCTTTGTAAAGAGTGATGATAATATACTTAATGCAATAAGTGGTATTTATAAAGCTTGAGTTAACCTCAAAAGTTAAACGCTATTTCGCCCCCAATTCTGTATATAATTTAAAAAGCAGCACCCTTTAACTCATTAAAATTTGAGGGCCCATTAATTCAGCATTCGTTATATAATATGTGAAACAGATAGATTCTAGTAAGTTTAGGCCTTACTATAGATTTAAACGAGTTTATTTTTAAAAGAAAAATACAAAAATCTGATGTTTAAAAAATGGATTAATATTTATTTTATCTGTCCTAGCACAATAAGACTGGAGAACTTGGCCCCATATCTTAATTCTTTACCTGTGTTACTGAACACCTGTTCCTCTTAACTTGGGCAGTGAAACTGTACTAATATTTCACTTCTGTTTATAATCAATTTAGTCAGTTTAACTCTGGTCTCTTACCGGCAGCCATGTTAAAGGATACCATCCACTTAAAAACTGGTCTTCTTTCTGAATATTTTATCTGCTAGTTACTTGTAACAGCTCAGATTAATAACAAATTTTAAACCTTTTTCAGTTTGTTTTGTTCACTTTCCAGGACTTATAGCATAATAATTTTTCTCCTTTAATAGTGTGTTTTCTCCTGTGGTGTTGGTGGGTGATGTGGCATGGGTTTTTGTTTGTTTGTTTTTGTTTGTTTTTGTTTCTGGTGCCTTTCATATAGCAATGGGGCAGGAAATCGTCTTAGTGTGTTTTTGTAAACTCATAAATTAGCAAAGGGCTTGAGATATTAAATAACTCATTTAAAAAACAAAAACAAAAATCAACCAGCTTGAACTCTGGTTGCTGCCCCATCACCAATACTGACTGTTGACTGACTGGTGTACTTTACAAGATTCTAACCATCCCATAGCCGACAGAATTATTATATGTTTTCAACTAAGTGCTACCGTTGAATGCCTTTACAAGTGTTCAATATCTATTTTTTCCCCTCCTTCTAGCTGGGAACTTCTGGGGTAGAACAATGTCTGCTGTCTCTAGCTCTACAGATCCAACTAGTTATGATGGGTTTGGACCATTTATGCCAGGTTTTGAAGTAATTCCGTACAATGACCTTCCAGCTCTTGAGGTATTTCACAATATCTTCCTCTAAAATATCATTCTTAATCGCTCCTTGTAGGTATAGTAAATACTGATGCAAAGAAAGTGAACATGGTTTACCCTCGGAACAAATGTTTATGACTACAAAATACAACTTTTTGTACTTGTTTAGTTTTTTTGCAGTTTCCATTTTAGAACCCAAAGGGAGAATTATACTACCTGCAGTAGATTGCACAGTAGTAAAGTGCTCAGGACATGAGTGAAGAATACCATGTATATCTTGAACAGCAGGAGGAATTTGGATAGGCAAAATAAATACAAAAACTAAAACTTTGATATTCGTCCCAATACTCTGACCTACTTTTCTGACAAACGGCTTTTGAATGGCCAAATGATTAGGCCTGACATTTGAATTTAAGTCACTTCCAGTAGCACAATGTCCCCTAAAACCATGCTGGGGTGGTGTTTTACTTACCTAACTGAAGTGCCAGCACCACTTCCTGCAACATCCTGGATTTTCTTGGGAGGTTTCCCATCAAGCTACTAGCCAGATTTGTTGTTAGCCCAAATAAATAAGTGTATCTTAGTGCTAATAGGATGCTGGATTAGTAGCCTTGGAGACTGAAGGCTTCCACTCAGCCATAACACAAGTAAAGCTCAGTGGGAGTGCAAGCTCTACCATCTGCCGTTCTCTCATACTTTAGCCATGATCTGGAGGTGAGAGGTTATATGGGTGAGAGGTTAGTTCAGTCTCTGTGCCAACAAGGATGCCAGTGGTTTGGAGAGGTGATGGAGACTGATGTGGTAGAGATCTTTGTTTCTTAAGAACTCGACTGAGACTACACACTTAATTCTTACAGAAACAAAGGTTTTTCAATATTTTTAATTGCTTTGAGGATAAGATTATTCAAAATTGGATCAGACTATCAACCTTCATGGTGGAAGCTCTGTATTTATCTGGTTTCAGTCAACTTCATTTAGGTTCTGGAGGTGCTTTGAGATGTGGTCTGTAACTTAGACCCATACTTATTCTGTCTGATAATAAACATACATTGGTTGTGTTGTTAAAGGGAGGCTCTGACTATCTCTTTCTGGGTGGCCAAGGTGCCAGCATCTCATACTGGCAATTTTTGGATCTTTGCTTAAGAAAACTTCTAATGCTGACAAATCTTGCCAGTTCTAACCTTGTCTCTACCCTTATGGGGGAAAGTTTATTGAGAAAGCTGTAGCAAAACCCCTCTATGAATGCTTAGTCTCTGAATTTCCTCGAACTTTTAAGGCTTGAATGTGTGGACATGTCTGCAGACCCTGCTATGTAATGATAAAGCTGCACGTGAATGGCTACATTCTTGTGAGGAGATCCAGGAGCTACTATTGTTCAATTGCTTTTCTCTCTCAAGAGCTCTCACAAGAGGTTAACCAAGTTAATACATTTAACTGATTTGATAAGCCCCTTGTCTGGGTGCCCAACCTCTTTTAAGGCTTCTAATCTCTTATGCATGCAAACAGACTAATTTTTTGAGGTACATGGTGATTGAAATCTAGCCTTTAGTCCTTCATGCCAATAAATGTTAAAATACATAGTTAATGCTTATCTAAGGTAAAAATTTGGGGTTAGATTTAGGTTCTGTAACAGGGATTCATCTATTTCCATGATTAAACTTTAGTAAATGGATTTTTTTTCCTCCTTCCAATCCACATGTCCTTCATAGCGTGCACTTCAGGATCCAAACGTAGCAGCTTTCATGGTTGAACCAATTCAAGGTGAAGCAGGTGTGGTTGTCCCTGATGAAGGTTATCTAACAGGAGTGCGAGAGCTCTGCACAATACACAATGTAAGTAATTCATTTTAGCTAAATAATTTAAAATACATCCTGCCAAAGTTGAGTAATTACCAGAATCTTGGCCTGTGAGGCCCTTGCAAATAAGTGATGCATTTAAGTCAAAATGCAATGTTGAGGCCTTGGTGTATTGTTAAACCATTTGTTTTCTTCCAGTATAAATGAGACTAACTACAGTGCATTTTTCAGATCCGTCATGACAAGCCATTACAGTATTTTGGAGCAGCAGTAGTTAATACTTAGTTCTTTTGTTTCTCAGTAGTGTTATCTAATTATTAACTTCTTAAATTTCACAATGATGGGAATCAAATTTACGGGCTAGATCTAACATGATGTGTCTGGGTGAAATCAAGTGTGTCATGATATTCACAGTAGTCAAGATGAAAAGGAAGTGTAAAGCATTTGAGTTTGTCCTTTTTTTTAAATTAATTCTGTGCCTAGAGAAATATAGCTGCTGTTGAGGAATAATGCTAGCTAGCCAAAAGCTGTGTTCAGTCTCTTGGTGCTAGAGGCATACCTTCTATTTCTCCATGCTACATGGTCCCTGCAGGGGGGAGGGATAGCTCAGTGGTTTGAGCATTGGCCTGCTAAACCCAGGGTTGTGAGTTCAATCCTTGAGGGGGCCACTTGGGGATCTGGGGCAAAATCAGTACTTGGTCCTGCTAGTGAAGGCAGGGGGCTGGACTTGATGACCTTTCAAGGTCCCTTCCAGTTCTAGGAGATGGGATATCTCCATGCAATGGACAGGTTTAAAATAATGCAACTGGCAAAGTTCACTGGCACTAGGGAAGCTACTCAGGACTACATCCAACCCCAGATCTGCATTCCATATAAACACAGTGGGCCAGGCTAATCTCTGGTGTCACTCTCTCAAATTAGTGGAATTGTCTGTTTATCTCCTCAGTTAATTGAGTCAGTGAGACAACTGCTGCCATTGCAGATCCTGCCATCCAGATAAGATCATTTGGGATCAGGACGCACATGGAATTAGCTACTAAGAGAGTGGTCAAAAAATTAATGTGTAGCTAGTACAACTTTAGGTCCCTATAAAGCACTTAATTAACATTAATATCCCACATGCCTCTGTTAGTGTCTTCCGCCTGACCGTGATTATCTTATGTTCTCCCTATTCAGCTATTTTGTACGAAAATCCAAACAGTGCATCCTCTTCATAGTGGAGTATCTGCCCCATAATCCCTCTCTTTTTAAAGCAAGGACAAATATAATACCAGCAATTAGACTTTCCTGCATAATACACAATTATCTCTTTCTCCAGACATAGCCTAAGGAGAGAGAAGCATTGACTATCATCTTCTTCCTCCTCCTCCATGGGCATTTTCCATGTGGCAAAGTGACTATAGATTGCATCTTAGGATAAAGTAATTTAAGATTGTAGTGTTTGTAATCTATTTTATTACAAGACCAATAGACTTACTACCTAGGGCTTTCAAAAGTGCTTGGCATTAGCCTGCTTCTGCAGTCACTGAATTGACTTGAGTGAGAGTGGAGTTAGACCAATGATGAGGGCTTTGGAAAATATGACCTCTTGTTAAACTGCTATAACACCTGAAGTTCTATATAAAATAATGTGGAATGTGCTAAATGTAGAATAGAATTCTTGTCTGCCCCAAAGAAGTCTTAATGTAAAAATTACCGTATAGTAAGTCGAGCAGTCATTACAGTCACTGTGTCATGGAAACAATGGGTTTTCAGGAGTTTTGCGGAGGAAAAAGAAGAGTGCTTGGTGTAGGTTAGTTGGCAGGTATTTCAGGTACTAGAGGTGACTTTGCTATGTTGTATGTTAACTTTCTGAAAGATCAGTATGTCTAAATCTTAATTCGATATCTGAGTAAACTGTCATTCATTGTTGAATTTTTGTAAAGGTTCTGTTTATTGCTGATGAAATACAGACTGGCTTAGCTAGAACTGGGAAAATGCTGGCTGTTGACCATGAAAATGTGAGACCTGACCTGGTGCTCCTTGGAAAGGCCCTTTCTGGTGGCTTATATCCTGTAAGTAGCAAAACACTGTTTCAGTTTAAACTGACTGCTCATATTGGAGAGACTATATTGTCACAAATTAAATTGATCTGATGTGTGGCATTCTTGGGGAAGGCGATGTATGTACATATAGGAATAACTGCTTCCAGAATTATGAGGTACTCTGAACCAGATACCCTAACTTGCTAGAAATACAGGTGAAATTCATGAAATACACAATTTGTTAGTTGCTTGTCCAACTGTTAGTATAGTAAGCACTATATATTAATGATTGGACTAATGGTATGCCTGCCAAAAGAGCAGGACATTTGTTATCATCTTCCAAGCCAACCACTGAGACTTGTTCTTTGGAGGATTGACTTCCAAATTAGTATAAACGGTGTGAACTATCCTAGTTCTTATGATGGTGATTTAAG